TGTGTGTGCGCGCGTATGTATGTGTACACGTGTACATATGTGCATGTGCGCGCGTGTATGTGTATACGTGTACATATATGTGTGTGTGCGCGCGTATATGTGTATACGTACGTGTGTGTGCGTGCATATATGTGTGCGCGCGTATATGTGCATACGTATACATACGTGTGTGCACGCATATATGTGCACATATGTGCGTGTGTGCACCTGTGTGCGTGCGCACGCATGTCTGTATACGTGTACATATGTGTGTGTGCGCGCACATGTGTGTATATATGTGTGCACGCGCATGTGTGTGTATGTGTACATATATGTGTGCGCGTGTGTGCGCATATGTGTGTGCGCGCATGTATGTGTATACGTGTAGGTATGTGCGTATGTGTGCGCGCGCATATGTGTGTGTGCGCACTTATATGTGAATATGTGTACATATGTGTGCGCGCGCGCATATGTGCATATGGGTACATATATGTGTGTGCGCGTGTGTGCGTATGTGTGCACGTGTGTGTATACGTGTGCATGTGTGTGTATACGGGTACATGTGTGTGCGCGCATATATGTGTGCGCAAATGTATGTGTGCATATGTACACATACGTGTGTGTGCATGTGTGTATACGTATACATGTGTGTGAGCAAATGTGTATATGTGTGCATATGTACATATACGTGTGTGCACATGTGTGTGTGCATGTGTGTGTATACGTGTACATGTGTGTGCGCGCATATATATGTGTGTATGTGTGTATATATTTGTGTGTGCATTTATACATGTGTATGTATATGTATATATGTGTGTGCCTATATATGTTTATATATATGCATGCGTGCACTATATATGCGTGTATGTGTGTGCATATATAGGCATGTATTATATGTGTTTAATACATGTATATACACATACTCACATATATATCCATATATGTGTATATACACACGTAATACACAGAGATACATATATAAACATAGAGAGAGAGAGAGAGTTTTGTCAGCCCATATATAAACATATATGTATGAAAGAGTCGTTCCCAGCCCAGTTCCAAGGAGCTGAGTGTCAGCGTCACAACTTTTCCTTGCATTTGGCACGGGCCCCTTTGCTGTTCTGAGAGCAGCACCGGAGGCTCCAGACCTCGAGCTTTTCCTTCATTTTTTCCCCTTTTTTTTCCTTTCCCTTTTTTCCCGCGAGGCTCAGTCAGCCACAGCTCCATCTCTGCATGCGGGAGGGTGTAGCCTTTAAGTGGGACACTGGGAATCTTCCTCTGCACTTTAAAACACAGCTGGCCACAAATGAAAACACGTTGATTCTTATGGTTTTTCCCTCTCGAGAAGCGTGAATCCGCAGTGCTCGAGGAACTTGGCCTCCTGCATCTGTTTCAGTCCGAGATGCAGCTGCCCTGAGCGTAGGTCTGTCCTGTACGAGTCACCAGCAGCTCTTCCAACCTGTAGCTTTGGCTGTGGAGCTGAGCGACTCATGGGAAGGTCCTTCAGGACATCCCGTGCGAAGTTTCGGTTGGGAAATGATGGTGCTTTGGGGTTCAGCCTCAAGAACTGCACAAGGTTCCACTTCCTCAGAGCCTCCTCAACATTTTCACAGTGTTTTCTGCATGCTTAGTCCTTACGTAAGGAACAGAAGCAGCTGGAGAGAGAATTAATGCAGTTGGTGGCTTTAATACCTTAGGATGGCTCCTTGTCCAGCCTGTCTTTTTGTACTTAACTAACAAGCTAAGTCGGGATGAGTTTAGGGAAGGTGTCCTGTTAATTATCTGATTTCCTTTTGTCTTGTTCTTTTGGTGTTTCTGAAAGTTGGATAGTTTCTCCCAGCCTGTTCTTATCCAACCACCTAGGAGTGCCCTCCCAACAAAGATAAATCAGGGTCCTCCAGAGCTCCTGGAGGTTTCACTGCTTTATTTCTCTGACCCAACAGCAGCACAAGGCTAAATTATTAACCACATTTCACCACCACCACGAGAGCCGTGAGGGCTCGACCTGCAGCACCCGCCGAGCTTCATCCAAGCTCCCTTTGCTGCAATGTAGGAAACACATCCCAGTTTAAAGAGGTTTTGTCTTTTAGGGGTTGGAACACTGATAGGTTCTCAGGTATTTCTGGATTCCTGCTCTTATTTTGCTCCTCAGGAGCAAGCCCGAGAGCACTGCTGTAACTTTACACCAAGGATTGCCCTGTTTTAGCCTTAGGAATGCAGAAAAAAATCATTAAATCAATATTTTCTTGGATTTTTCTTTTACTTTTCTAAAAAGATTTCTTTAGCAGCCTTTGAAATATTCAGAACTATAACTAAAAGCAAGTCTAGTTTGATACATTCACAAAGCAAATCAATATTTGAAAAAAATTCATCTGTATTTGTTTTGTCATTGGAAAGTGTGTTGATTTGAGCTATAGTGTATTTTGAATTAACCTTAGTGGGATAAAAAAAACCCTAATGGCTGTAAAAATGTGGCTTAGTGACCTCCTAAAATATAATTATCATCAATATGAAAGCTGTTTTCTGGTTATTTCTGATTTTTAAATGCTTCTGGCTGTTTCTTAGGCTCTCGTAGAGTAGCTTCTGCAAGTGTACGCAGCTCCTGTGCCCCTAGGAATTCCTGGCTGCAGATCCTGAAGGATAGTAGTGCTTTTCCCCAGGCAAGATTGGGTTTTACAGCTTTCTATTAAAGTGAATTTTAATTCCTTCCAGGAAAGGAGATGAGCTCTCTCAACAGGCTCTTGGATCCAACTTGAGAACTTCAGGAAATGACAGTCCTGGCGAAGTTCAGAATTGCTTCTAATGACATCTGAAAATAACAGATACCTTGAGAATAAGAGACCATTAAAATATTCGAAGCTCAAACTTACAGATCTATCCATGGCTAAAAAAAAAATTCATTATCACAAAAAAATAACGTGGTTCAGAGGAAGAATAACCCCTTTAAACACCTGACCAGTCGTATCTGCAGTTTGTTACTTAGGAAGGACTCACTTCTGAGGAAAATCTGAATTGTAGAGGAGCTGCAGGGGGGTTTTGGTTTCCTGCGGAAGGACGACTGAAATGTCTTTTCCTTCCGTGTTTGAGCTGCTGCGTCTACGTCTGCGTTGTTAAAAACTGCTGCTTGGAAAAACTGCTTCTGCAACAGCCCCAAATGAGTCTGTCTGCAGCAGCTCTGCTGCAAATTGTGACCCTTTCCAAAGGGGTTAGGTCAGCACTACGATTTTCCTAATTTCCATGGGTAAAAGCAAAATTTGCAAGCACTAAGTCAACACAAGAATTAAACTGATGAAAAGAATACCTTGAGCAAACCTCACTGGTGCTGCTGAGCAGACTTAACAGTTTAAATCCACAAGGCAGTACGTGATTTTTAAACATAACTGTACAACAGGCATTGGATTTCCTTAATCTTTGGTCAGTTTTTCATATAGTGAAGCTCTCCTGTAGGTATTTTTCCAAGCTGCCTCATATCTTCGTGTTCACTGCAGGAACAAAGGTATTTGCAATGAAATGCCAAATTCTTTGGCGTCTCTTTAGCTATTTTTGGTTTCTTTGCAGTGGAAGATTGATGACAAGCCAGTAAAAATTGACAAATGGGACGGTTCAGCTGTGAAAAACTCTCTTGACGATTCTGCCAAAAAGGTACATTGTGCAACCGACGACTTCTTTTGCTTGGAAAACATTTGAACTGTTGCTCTGTGCATGAAACTTTTAAGAAAGTTGGTGAAAATTTGTGGAGAGAATTTATTTCTCCTATTTATTTATTATTATATATCTCCTAAATTTATTTCTTCTTTGCACCATCGTGGGCTACCCAGTAGCTGCTTTGCTTTCTTAGACCCTTGCAGCTTTGTTTCAGCAAGGAGTTTTGCATTAATGTTGGGGTTTTTTTTAGATCTTATGCTAATCCTTTATGCCAAGGTAACTTGTTAGGGTTTATATTAAGCTAAACAGTCCTGAAAAATGAGTTTTATGTGTGCAGGGCCCGCGTCCTTGCTGGTTTTGTAGTGGGTTTTGTGATGCCTCTGGATCCGAGCTGGCGAAAGCAGCATTCGTGCTTCGAATAGTGACAATAACCACCCCAAAATCTGATTTAGCTTTAGTTATGTAAAAAGTTTCTCTTCACGTTACCTCTGCAACCTAGCTGGCAGCGTCCAGATCCTTTCCTGCAGCAGTTTGCCACGTTTAGGACAGCTCAAACTCAACTTGTCTGCCCCTTTCTCCCTCAGGTTCTCCTGGAAAAGTACAAGTACGTGGAGAACTTCCGTCTGATCGACGGCCGCCTCCTCATCTGCACCATCTCGTGTCTCTTCGCAATCGTAGCTTTGATTTGGGACTACCTGCACCCCTTCCCCGAATCCAAACCTGTCCTTGCTTTTTGTGTTGTGTCATATCCTTTACTTTGGGCTGGCTTGGAGTTCTTTATTTTTCTTTTCACTCCCCACAGGAAAGCAAGTCTCATTTCTGTATTCCCATTTTCAGGCCTATGTGAATTTTGTGCAGGGATCAGCTGTAATTAACAGCTTTTTGTGCAAAAACCAAATGCTCCTCTGGGTGGTTTTGGTCTGACACTAACACACCTAAATCTGGGTTATCTACAGGCACCATCACCTATGCATAGAGACGCTCCAGTTCTGGGGTGCTCATCTCAAACTGAAAACCAGCCCTCAAAAGTTCATTGTTTTTTTGAGTTTTGTCATAATTATGGTGAAATCACCTCTGTAGTTGGTTACAGTCACTCGTACTCTTTCCTAACACAACAGACCGAGTGCCACGAGTGAGAAGTGAAGTGGGAGCAATCCTTATCAACCCTCAAAGAGGAACAGACGCTGAATTTAGGAAGGCAGCGCCACAGATCAGTAAAAGTTAACACCAAAACACCAAGAAATATTCATGGTTGTGCGTTCAGTGCAACAACCCCGCTGTTTCCCTCCTGTTGAGCTCACAGGGTTGCAAGCCCCAGGTTTCTTTGCATCTCCTCTAGTGAGATCCAGTCTTTAGAGGTTTTGCAACATAAATATGTGCAACGGATCAGCAGAGCTTTCCAGGAACCACGGATGGATCAGAGAGGAAGCCTGAGCCAGTCGCCTGGAAGCCCCAGGAGTCTCTGTTCCTCTTGTGATACGGTTGTATCTTGGGCAAGCAGCTTTCTCATTTTAAGCTACGTTTTCTCTCCGTTTGGCTTTCAGCATGGAAGTCAGGGGGCTCATCTTGCAGCACTTAGGGGGATTTAATTCAAAAAAAAGAAAAAGGGAGGGGGAGGGTGGGAATTAATAAATTAATAACTTGATTTGTGCTCAGTAGAAATGCACAGTCATTAATTGTGACTCAGTCTCACATTTTCCAGCTTTCTCCTACAGCTGCTGCCCCCTCCAAAATGAGTGACTTGTACTTAATGATTTTTAATGTTGTTTTTTATGTGGCTCTTTCAGAAATCCCCTTTGAGGAAGCATTTAGGGTGTTGTCACTCTGCCTGTTACTTTCAGGCACTCTTGTACAACCGCACAGCTCTGTGCTGGTGTCACACACACTCAGCTCTGTCCAGAGTGCCAAAAGGCCCCCAAAATGATGGGCCACGAGCGCGTTCTTTGCCCACCTTCCTCCTCTTGGTTTCCTTAACTTTGCGAACATATTTTGTGATGATGGGAATCCTGACCATTTATACCTCATACAAAGAGAAGAGCATTTTCCTCGTGGCTCACCGGAAAGATCCCACGGGGATGGACCCGGATGACGTGTGGCAGCTCTCCTCCAGCCTCAAACGGTAGCGCAGCCCCTGCCACAACGGACCAACAAGGAGGGGAAAAAAAATACTGCTATTTCCACAACAGGGACATGAGCTGTTTGGACGGGGACGTGATCAGGGCAACCTATGACTAATACTCACCCAGCAGAAGCAACAGGGCTGATATTAGGCAGGGAAATATTAGCCTGATATTTCCATCTGTGGCATCATCCTAAACATTTTTTCCCCATTTCCATACGTATGAATCCATTTCATGCTATTAAAACCACATCTCATCACAAACGGGGAGAGGGATGAGCAGCTGGGTTCCTCAGAAGTTCAACCAGGGCTTCTATTTAAATAGGAAAAACAAAAGCAATCTATTACAAAGGGTATAAAACTCCTCAGTAGAGAGAAAATTTAAAAACTGGGTGTTTCAGCTGCCAATCTTCTGAATTCATGTTCAAAAGTGGGTTTTTGGGTGCCAGGGCCTCATTCCGGGGGGATTCTCCCACCGGGGACGTTCTCCTGACGTTCCCCGCACTCTTCCCGCAGGTTCGACGACAAATACACCCTCAAGGTGACCTTCATCAGCGGGAAGACCCGGCAGCGGCGCGAGGCCGAGTTCACGCGCTCCATCGCGCGCTTCTTCGACGCCAACGGCACGCTGGTCATGGAGGCCTACGAGCCCGAGGTGTCGCGGCTGCACGACAGCCTGGGCAG